TTCAATTAAGAAGTGCGTGAAGACTACATACATGCAATCTCTTCCTCTATATATAGAGAGAGGAAGAGTTTCTGGAGTCTTCCAAGAAACTGTTGACAAATACGTGACGTCAAAAGAATAGAGTAGAAAAGTGTAGAAAAGGAGAAACCAATTTAGCAGTGGAGCAATGGCCAATGCTGAGCGGGGACTTTGGTCAGTGCTTAGCGAGGGCATGGCCCGAGCCTCCATCATGGGTTCCAACCCTTACAGGTAGGATATTTGGAATTTAGGTTCCTGCGATTCCCTTTCAGTGGAAGTCTAGGAGCAAAGAAGAATCACTTAAAAAACAGACAGACATTGTTGATGTAGAAGTTTCATACAATTTCTTTTCAGGGCTCTTCCGTCGAATCCATTGCAATGCGCCGGTTGGCCTCGTAGGGTGTGCGCATAGGCTTCATACAGTAATCCTCTTCAGTGCCTGATAGGGAAAGCGGTCATATCTTGGTGTCAGGGTTCACTCTTCCTTTTCAGGGACAAAAGGCGTAAACAATTCGTCCTCTCCAAAAAACCGCGTTTCACTTTGTGTATTACCTACCTTTCATCGCTAGTTTAGCTGTCCCTAGTTTCGTTGCTGCTACTTGTAGTGGTAGCAAAGTCGCCGCTGGCACAACTAGACTCAACTTCTTCTACGAGGAATACTACAGCATACTACCTTCAAACGATAACCTATATCTTATTCCAAAATGATCTGTGCTACATATGTTATTGCGGCCAGGAAAGTCTTTGACGAATAGCAACGTCTTTATATCCCCTAAGAACGAATGCTCACCCCTATATTCCAAATTACACAATTCCTATTCTTATACCTGAAGGCTGGTTTATATACTACCAGGTAACAGGTCAAAACCCTCCTCCAACCTAGTAACCCTAGCTATCTCCTTTCCTCCTATAATTTATTCCCTACCTACCTAGCTCCTCCAGCGTTAACACTATTACCGTAACACCTAACCAGAAAAATTTATACCTCACGGCGGCATATCATACTAATAAACGCAACAGAAGAACCCCGTTGTATTTCACTATCTACAAAGCCCCTAGTTCCTCTGCCTAGACACAATAATGCGATTTCTGCCGTTGCCGGGCCGAAAGATGAGTACCTCCACCACCACGATGAGAACCCACGATCTCCATTACTCACACACACTATCTTATCTTGCAAGGAAAACCACCATGAACCAATAAATCTTTCACTCGAAATACTGTATTTCATACCACGAGCGCACAATATGATTTCGACAGTAAAAAAACCTTCAACAGCAAGAAACTCTAACCATCGAAGACCTAAATCTATCCAGCAATGGACAATGTGGTTTACTTTCTCCACGTTACTCGACTAGGCTATATATATTGAAACTCGAGGTCTAAAGGGTTTAGTTGTATTTATAATAATAATAATAGGTAGTTCTAGTGAAGAATGTTTTAGCTAAGACTTAGAATTCGAAGGGTACATTAGATAGGCTCGAAATCTAAGATATTAAGAATAGTAAGATATATGAATCTTATTCTATTAAGATGGTACCCTCTAATAGTGAGATTATATAGGATTATTTAGAATGTTAGGTCTTCGAGAATAATGGCAGTGCTTAGTATAGCTTCTTCGAAAACTTTTAGACAACAAATATACGGCGTCCTCGATGTCTTATTTCGAATTTTTACGTAGCCATGTTCATCCTTCTTCTATGTTTCGTCTTTCATTGGTAAGAGTGCTTAGTAATATTATGATTCTCGTTTGAGCATTCGATGGATCGTGGATTAGGGAAAGTTATTTTGCTGTCTATTCACATACAAACAAGCTACACCGCTCATGTTCTGAGGGGCATAGTACAGCATTATTTTCCATGAATCCGTTCTAACACTGGGAAGCTTACAGATGTAATGACTGTCCCTCGATACCACTTGAAGTAGCTCGAATCATTGCTCAAATTCATCCATCTATCTATGGTACAACTTTTGTCCTTGATCTCTAGTTCACTCTAATCTGCATCTAGAACTTGAAAACTTGATCCTTGGTGTATCCAAGTTGCTCAAGAATACTTCCATCAAGCTCTCCCTGGTTCGAAGGCGATACCTTTACACCTGAGATAGCCTTGTACATCGGTGGCGGCCCGCAAACAAAGATCTTGATGTTCTCTGACTTTGGCTCCGGCAGCACAGTCTTCAACAACTCCTTTGTAATCCGTCCTTCCGACCCAACCCATCCCTTTGGTGGCGTATCGAGAACGTAGAATGAGCGGAAACGTTGAGGGTATGTGTTTTCCAGGTGTTCGAATTCCTTCTTCAACAGAATGTCTTCCTCTGTGACGTTCGCGAATACCAGTGTCACCTTCGTCTGGTCGTCTGGGTTGTTGAAAATGCCGCGGGCGAGTTGATACATGGGGGTAATACCAGTTCCACCAGCGATCAATGCGATGTGCTTGTGCTTGTTCGCTTCCCATGGGTACTTGGGGATGGGGCCTTTGAATTGAAGTTCTTGACCGGGAACCATGTCGTGCATGTGCGAAGACATTGGGCCGCCCTTGTATTTCTTGACGATCAAGTCGAGATATCCTGTCTCACCTACACTCTCGATTAGAACTTCTCGTATTTCTCGGTGGAACCCGGCAGCTACCAACCTTCATCGCTGGTGGGCGTATATGGTCTGATGACAGGCTTCTCCATGTCTGGACCCTTGTACTTGGTGACAAGTGCAGAGGCAACCTTCAACCCGCTGACCTGGTCATCCTCAGGTAATGCGAAGCGCAACTTCTTGGTGTTGTGGTTGATGTTCTCAACGCTCTCGAGTCTCAACCCAATGAAGCCTTGATCACCTCCAGTAAACGCAGCTTTTGCGGTAGCGCCTACAGTGGCACTCTTGACTTTCGCCTCAGCATCCTTCGCAGCGGTTTTGATCTTGGTAGCGTCGTCTTTATTGAGGAAGTAGTATGCGCCTGCAGCTAGGGCGGTAGCTACACCACCGTAAAGGATTGAATTAGAGCTGCTCTTGGGTGCTTCTGTCGCATATCGGCGGTATTGCTGTATGCATAGCGTATGAAGTTAGCTTCTGGTCGAATATGAAGAGTTGCAAAGTCAATTGAGGTTGTCGTCTCCAATGCGCAGGCACATCTGTGGTGGGGGAGCTTGGTAACTTCTGTAGAGCTTAGAATAGCTGAGAATGCTTACAGATCTCAATGGCTGAGCCGATCGGAATGCTTGTCTGGCAAACATGATGAATATCTAGTTCTCAAAACTTCTGGAAATTAATTGATGTGAGGTTGAATAATGGAGAGATGATCGCAATGTCCTAGAACAAAAACCTGGAGCTTCCGACTTCCATGACGTCTCTTCGGACCTTTCGGATATAACAACCCCGCTAGTCCTTAAGGAGACAGTCCAGTACTCCAGTACTCCGTTACTCAACCATCTTTTACTTCCAAACGTCCAAACTTCTAAGTTGATAATGCAATAAACTCATTACTCGTCGCCCGTCAGAATGTGAATAAAATCGATGGAATCCAGCTGAAAACGAATGAAAACCCAATGTTAGTGTAAATTTCTAGTTTTCTTCCCTTTACGTAAGAAATACCTAGGTTCAGATTTAATCAATGTTTTCTTCTATTCTTTTTCTTCCGTTAAAGCTAAACTTGGAGTTATGAATTTATAGTGCATCTCCTCCTTCTTAGTATCCGCAGCTCTTGCTAAATGTCAATTGCAAATATAGAGTTACAATTATTCACTGGTGTCTCTAATCTTTCTTTTTTTCTTTTTCAACTAGTATAGTAACTAAAAGTGAATTTTGGCTGTTATGTTTCCATAACTACCTAAATAGATTAGGAGTTAAGATTCCAGGAATAACCGAGAATATCCCTACATCAGGATCTTTGTATTGATGTTTTTCCTATATTAATTTGATTCGGAGTTTTGCAAATAGTAAAAAGTACATTGGCGCCTATTCGGACCTAAATCGTGAGTAAAACGCTGGTCTAACCTTCCTGGCTAAAAATTACAACCTTCCATTCGGACCATTCGTAATATATAGAGTTCCGAGTTCATAACAAGACACGTGAAAGTATCTATGCGGGATTTCTTTCCTCAAGAACCTCTCACGAAGCCCACTATTTTAATATTCGTTACTCAACCCTTCGAGGACAGGAAAGATATCTCAAGACTTCCCAACAACTTTGAGCCATTATCTCGCCCTATCATTCGCTAACGTCACCTACTGATACGCTATTGCCGATATGACGGAAGGTAATCAGACCGTGCCCCTCAAGGAATTCCATCTTTTCCCGAATCTTCTGAAGGAACTTCGATGTCAGATCTGGTCTATGGTCCCACGTTGTGGCCGAATCATTCAGGTTCATTTTCTCTTCGATGAAAACGAATGGGGAGCAGAAACCGACAGTGCCACGTTGTTGGACTTGGTCCCTACGTTGGTTGTGTCCAGAGAGGCCCGAAATGAAACGATGCGAGCCTACACAAAAGCGTTTGGCACAATCATCGACTTGGAAAAAGACACTCTCTTCATCAGCGACTGTATGTTTACTTATCGAAAGACGGGTCGGATGTTGCTGGATATGGAATATATCGGGCAAGTGCGAAACCTTGCTTTACGTGAAGATGTTGTTGGAATGTTGCTATATTTGGAGTGGGCGACACACTGTGTGGATCTTTTTGATACCTTAGTCCAGGTGTTGTCAAAATTCAAAAAGCTTGGACACTTTTCAATTGTGTTGACACCAGCCGACAATATCTCTGCTTGCAGCGATAATTTCGGGGTGGAGGCGGAATATATGACACGCGGGCCTGTGGAGGATGACCAGTGGTACGAGGAATTTGATGAGTTGGATGATATTGACGGCCAGTCGGATGATGTTATACATGATGAAGATTATTGGCTCTATCTCTTTGACGATGAAAACTATGTTGAGCTCGATGAACCATCTCTAGAAGCACTCAAAAGGTACCATGTTAAGATTGAGAAGCGTATCTTTAAGCTCCACAAGCGGGACTCCGAGAGAGCTAGTACAGAGCTTCGGCATACTCGTAGACTAATTTACCCTCCAAAAGCATACCAATACGACGGCCGAAAGAGCCAGGGGCCTCGCTCCCTAAGGCTCTTGATACGCAAACTATTTCAACATGGAAAGAGGAAATTTCCACAATGGATGCAGCCATCTCTCAGTTTGACAATTGTACAACCTGGTCAGAATACTATCGATGATACGCCTCCGCTCTTTCACTATCTGGGGGACCATGATGATAAAGTCGCAGAGAAAATACCCAATGTATGATCATGGTAAATGGCCGAGGTCAGGTCAATTTAGAGCGAATGTCCTTTGGCTTAGGAAGATTGCATCTGGTTGGTGCGGTTTGCTGCTTTCTTCTTTAATATTTTTTGTGGTTGGTCAATACGTCGATCTACCACTATGCCAATTTGTTTACGGGTGAGTAGGAAGTAGTGCATCCAGAAATTGAAGCTGAGTATGGACTAGTAAATCTTTGAGCGAAAAGAATGTCAATAAAAAGTATTTTTCTTCTATCACGATGTTCGATACAGTGACCAATAAAGTACCGGGGCATTCAATGTCATCAATTTATCGGTCAACTAGCATATCAGCAAATAGAATATCGTAGCTCTGACAGAATCCGCTTTTTAGTATACAGTAGTATACGTGAATAAAGTTTCAGAACAGAGAGTGTGGAGACCCAAGAATGTCGATACCAGATAGCTACATCATGATAGAATTCAACATTGGCTAGACTAATGTCGATAGATGATATCGCGATAATTGGTTATATATCGTATTCAGCGTCTAAATAAATACCGCAAAGTTCCAGGCCAACCAGAAAGGGTCAATAATTAGTATTGGGTTGAAAGGGTATTGGGTACTGAAGGTCATGGAGAATTAATTGCATCGTAAAAGGTAGCTATCTAAGGTGTTTATATAAAGAGTGTAAGGTTTAGGCAGACATGAAGCATTTAGGCAGCAGAACTATAAGTGGATCAAATAAGGAAGTGGAGCAAAAGAGAAAGTAGACCCAGCACAACACTCCCCCCCAGGAGACAGCGTCTTATTGAAAGCTGTCACCTGATCCAAGTATCAACTGGCTAATATCTGTAAGATGTAGTTGTTGTACGAATAGAATATGCTTTTGAGGTGATAACTCCTTCGTAAAGCCGTCGGCTACCATCCTAGTAGTAGGGACCCAGTTTATATTAACGCGCT